CATAAGCAAGTCACAATTTTGCTCTTTTATTTTTACACGAGTTAACGCCTTGAAGATAGTGAAAAATATAGGATTTTATGCAATCGGTGTCGAGAGGTACTGGAGGCCATTCAAGCCGGCTGGGACCCCGATGCTGAGGCGCGTTTAAACCCAGTACTCACTCGGCTGCTCGGGTTAGCATTCGGATGCGATTTCCCCACGTCACCGTCTAACGTAGGGCTTAGCTTCTTAGAAGGAATCCATGGCGCCATAAAATCTTGGGCGAGTCTAAATGAAATTGCCAGCTTACAGAGTACGCCGACGATCATAAACGAAATTAAAGTGAAATTTTATGACCTGGATGCATTTTTGGAAGAATTTGGGGTAGGCTTTTGTATAAACCGTGACGTTCCCTGTAATTTTTCATCTATTCTGCAGGTAATCCACACCGTACAGCCTCGCGGGCGATTTGCTGAATTTGAAACAGCCTGCAAGGTAGACTCGGATCACCTTATAGCCAGCTTGGGAATATCAGACGAGCCGGTTCGCACGCTTTTAGAACATTGAGATGATAATCGTGCTTATTTGAGCCACACTTCACTTCATCTATGGTTAAATCCGTAGCCCCCTCTAGCTCAAGTCTTAGATTCGCAGGAGAATGCGCAGCCTGGACAGGATGTCTCCAGCCCGCGACAAAGTGAAACTCCTACCAATCCCCTCAGTTCCAACTCTCCGTCGCCAGATAAGGCTGGACAGCCACCTGTTGATACGTCTGTGCCTATCGCGATATCTGCCGCGTATGATAAAATCGCATCGACCGCAGCAGCTGCTCAAAACAACCTGTAGGCAATCTCCTTCCTCGGATCTGCTCTTTTGCACCCAACCGATGGCTGCTTTCCACTATGATAGGCAGAAGCTTAAATATTTACAGCGCCGTTGCGAGAAAATTATTGCAGCGTGCCAAGGCGGATGGAATTTGGAGATTGAAGCACAAGGGGGTCAGATCATCGAGTTCGTGAATCTTCGATCTTCCAAGTCAAACCGTGTGACTGCGCTGACCGCTATCCCAGGCTCTTCGAAAAAATCCACTCCTCTATCATATACTGGACAAGCCTGGATATCTTCGAGTCCTTTATCCAGCAATTCAGCATTGCAAGTGACATCAAGGCAAAAGTGAAAGCATTGGATGAATTTATACCTATCTTTTCAGTGAGTAACCTCTGTATATCTGTTTCTGAGATCATCGTAGGTAATAGCATACTTTTCCTCAGTCCCATATGCGGCCTCGAGACTGGGACGAATTTTCTCTTCTCACTGCAAGCGATTCAAGCGCACTTGCCAAGGACTTGAAATCCCGTACAGATATGATGGACCTTGACGATAATCGCCGGAAGGCGATCGATGAGCTGTTAGGAGGTTTACAGACAGTTTGTTCTATCTATATCTCTCGCGCGTCTATCTTCCAGCTCACCTCCACCCATAACCATTATCGCCACCACCATCAATATCCCGATAGGCCCTAAAGGCACCGCCTCAGGGCTCAACACGCCAGGAAATGCAACAAAATATCCTCACTGTTCAAAATACCTTTGATGTGTGCCTCCCGGATACCAAAATCCTCGTAGGCGCTGAATGTAAAATCGTGGATTATGACTTATTTGCTACTACTGAGGTAGTTATCCCTCCGATTTTATCACAAAAGCATCCCTCATGACGCATTACATTCCGCAGTCTTATGATGTTCTCAAAGGGCTATGGATGGGGAGTCGAAGCGTTGGGCTGAAGATCTGGTCCGAAATCCAGTCTGGCGAATTTGACCAATACGAAGGTGTACGTGTCACCGTTCATCCTCTGCAAGAGCTGTCCCTACTTATACTCACAACCGAATTATCGAAATGGTCATGTCCCTCAGCACTGCATGCGCCAAGTAAAGATTTGGTGCACACTTTATCATCAACATATCTCGCCCTTTTATGGGTTATGCCGCGCTTACGGTCCATATTCGTATGATTATCAATCCAGCACTTCAGAATTCCGTTTGCATATTAACGATGACTCGCATCTGGTAGATGTCTCGTACTTCCATGGAAGGGGTAAGTTAACCCCCTCTTGGTACACCGCACACCTCATTACATCGACGCTCTATAGGGAGGGTCAGGCCATTCAATACCTCAGCGAGAAGCCAGCATCCTCCTTGATCAAAGTTGTAAGTGCCAACAGTATTCGACTTTTTTGACCGCGCTTAAATCCTAAATCCAGTGCCTTGAAGCGGCGTATGGGCTGCAATATTTGCATTCGCTCGCGAGGCCTATAGTACTGGGTGGTCTGAGGCGCGTTCGTTACATTCGAATGCTTCCCCCCTTTGACCCACGTTAATCAATATCTTCAGAGTGGCATATTAATATCTGACGAGGGGAAAGCACTACTGGCTGACTTTGAAATATCCGATTTCGAGGGATCAAGTTACGATAGCTATGCCGCCCGTCGTGGAAAATGGGATAGATGGCTTGCCCCTGAGCTAGCGGAGGAGGGTCCGGATGGTACACCGAGCAGACTTACTAAGGCTTGTGATATTTGGTCTTGGGCAATGATGGTCTTGGAAGTATGCGCGATCCACTACCGCTCCTGGTCGACCCTTACCAGTTTCTCCCAACGCAGGTTCTCTCGGAAAAATCACCATTCTTTGCAAGTGAATCTGGTACGACTGAGGAGCAAGAATCACTGCGCCAAAGGATCCGTGATGGTGAGCGGCCCACAAGAGATGAGTATACGCACCCTGCGCTCGAAGATAGTCTATGGCTGCTCCTTGAATCATGCTGGCAGACAGAACCAAAGGACCGCCCCGATATTGATGCGGTCGTGGCCACGATGAAAACTATCAGCACATCATACCAGGAACCGCCGCCGCCCTTGCTCCCGTCTTAGCACCGATTGCATGTAACATGTAACCTCTTTTATTTCTCACTCCTCATTATAGACTGCGGTAGAGTGCCGATTGGTTCTCACTATCGACTCTGGGCCTTCGTGAGGGGCATTCCGTCGCGGTGTACTAGTGTTGTTTACATCGCCAGCATCGCGATCAGCTTGCTGAAGACATATACATTGATTTGTTCATATATTCTTCGCCGCTGATCTTTTGAACATGAGGTGCGGCGCATTGGCATCATCCGCGTGTATGTGAGTCTAGGGCTTGGGGGGCTGCTGCACGTCGGCTTTGTACCAGTCATCGAAGCCAAGAACAACACCTATACCAAGTTCCGCAAAATCAGCATAAGGCCGATAACCGCTGAGGGAATCCAGGAAGGAGGAAACGTACCCCAAGGAGGCGAGATGAGACGTTGGTGTTTGCCTCCTTCCGCGAGCCCATCGAGTTTCTTTACGTCTTCTTCATCGAGAGGCGCAGGCTGAATGTTTTTGGCAATACGGGCGGCCGTAACTGATTTGGGGAGCGCAACGACATCCTTCGCCACTATTTTGCATATTCACTGTCTATCACCAGTTTCTGCTGAAAACAAAAAAAAAAAATGAAGGAACGAACCATGCCATCCAATCAACACGGCTCCGGGCTCGGTTCCATGCTTCTTGGCAATCTCTGCTACGACTTCATCCTTCAGAAGTGGTGAGTTGGTGGATCCGAGTGGTGAGTACGCCTGCGGGACGATGCCTTGGGATTTGAGGTATGCAATCAGCTTGTGTTGTGGCAGATACGGGTGGAGTTCGATCTATTCGAAAGGGCTAGCTCAGACATGGGAGGACGGCGCGAAAGATGAAACACTCTGACCTGGTTTGTGGCGGGCTTGACCGTCGCATGAGGGAGGATTTCCTCGAGTTTCAGCTGAGAGAAGTTGGACACGCCAATAGCCTTGGCTTTACCTATGATCCGAGTTTGGAGTAGGTATGATAGCGTGTTTAGCCAAAGGATATATCCACGCACCCTTGTGGTAAACTTCCTCCATTTGCTTCCAGGTATCGATCAATTTCCACTCCTCGTCGATGTCACGGGAGCCATCGGGGCGAGTAGGGAAAAGTGGGTGGTTGCCTAAAGTCGCCGATAGCAATCAGGTCCAAATCAATACAGTGAGTTTTAAAGCAAGCACACCGCCTTCTTTAAGAGCGACAGGCCAGTGAACCAGAAGGACTGAAGGGAAAAGACGCCAATGAGTTTTGCCACCGCAGCGCGTGTAATCAACGTACGATCAACGTAGTCGGTGCCAAGTCTCTCGAGGGTTATATCCAAACAATCTTCCACGCGACGGTGGAAAGTTGACCTTTAGGTTGGTGTACGTTGTTCATTTACTCGTATTGATAATTGCGAGGGGAGGAGGCTAACCAGATTTTGGAGGTGATAAAGATCTCCTTCCGAGGCACGCCACTCTGGCGAATTCCCTCTCCGACTTCGGCTTCGTTCCCGTACGCCTGAGAAAGACGGATTTAGATTTGTCTAACACTGTGCGGAAGGAGGAGCGCCTCACATAAGCACCGTCAATATGGCGATAGCCAGCCTCTTTGATCGCGTAGCGAACAGCTTCGGTGACTTCACCCGGCTTAGATTGCCATGTTCCTATATTGGAAAAGTCTCAAATGAGCCAGAAGGGTAGCGTCAAATCGCCCAGAAGGATTAACCAAGGCCAATGAGCGGAATTTCTTTTCCGGTGTTGAGTTTGACTGAGCGAACTGCCATCGTGGCTTGATGGGGGTGGGGTGGGGTGGGGTGGGGGTGAGCAAAGTAGCACAGGCAGCGAAGGGAGGAAATCGATGCCTTTTATCATGATCTCCAAGCTTCTCCAAGCTCATCATCGCCGGCATGGCGGAGCGTCGGCCCGGTCGCTATCCGTTTCATCGCCGGCGACTCCATCACGCCCCTCGCACCGTAAGCCACATAGTGCATTATGCTTAGGCTCGTGACGGTCCTCCAGAAAGACCTGGGAGCTATTCGTGAGACCAAAAGGCGCATCGAGGATATTTTGATTCTAGTGGCTTGGTTTCCAGCCGAAGGCTGCTCGACACCATGAGTCGATCATGGTGAGATGGCCGAGTGGTCTAAGGCGCCAGATTTAGGCACTTGATGCAAACCTCTGGTCCTCCGGGGCGTGGGTTCGAACCCCACTCTCATCAAATCTTATTATTGCTTTGACGTGCGAGCCTTTTGGCAGCTTTTGCTTGAGCGGGGCTGGCCAAGTGCCCCCGGTCAGGCGTATTTCCCGGATAGTTTTTGCATAACAGAGGCACCTAAGTCTATTTCGTCTATTTCCTAGGATCATCAGCGCTTCAGCCCTGTAGATATACATTGTGCAAAGGCTGGTGCTTACCGGTTTAGTGACGATGAAGTCGGAGGAAAAGAGGTATATACTCAGATGTATGGCGCTGAACAACCCCTCGCCTTCATCTTTTCCGCCCCCCCCCCCCCCTCTCTCCCAGCCTTTGCCTTTCTTCAATCATTATGTCCAAAGCGGCATATGAGCTACTAAGACGTGTCGGGTTGCTATGTTCGTTAATCCTCACCAGGTAATTGAAACGTGGAGGCGAGTAAGTCGTGTCGGTGCCCAGGCAACGACAGCGACACGAGCGCTTGAACGCTGTACAACGGGCAGGGAAATTAAAGCGACATGCACCAAAACTATGGGTGAGGTGGTGGACTTGCTTTGGTCGTCGCGCCGACAGAATGGGAGCGGATGCAACGCACTGTGTTTACATTCCTTTTGTGAACATATCTAGTTCTTTACCACCATCACTCAGGTGCATCTTCAGCTCTCCGACATCCGCTCCCCCAATGCAGGATGTGGGAGTAGGGTAGGAGCGCGGACAGCCTGTGCACGCCTTTTTGCCTCCTGGCTCGCTGTGTACCGCGGGATCCTTATATTAGATTTGAGTATGCATAGGAACCACGATTTTACCCTCGCTGAGCTTCCTGATTGCTCTCTACAATCGCAACATCCAAGCGCTTGAAATTTCTGCTTCTGCCTTGCAAACGTATCTCTAAGCTCAAGGATATTTTGCTGCTATGGCAAGTAGGCCACTGCCGTATCCATCGCCTGCACTGGGGGATATGGAGCGTGGCACCTTCGGATTGCCTCAGATGCACGAGAGGCGGCCAATCGGATTTTCACGCATCGTCGACATGGTCATTGATCAATGCAGGCAAACCCGAGCTACTAGTTTAGCCGACTTGGCTGTTCAGCCTGCGCTCGGGACTGTGGGTATCTCTGTATTTCATGCAAACGCAACGCATTCATGTCTTGCCTTGATTTTCAGACCGTGAGGAGGTCGTTATCGTTTATTACGGCTGATTCGGGTACTTCTGGCACCAGCTTTGACTTCATCAACTCCAAACGTGATGGTGTGTACGGCGAATTTTGTCACTCGAAATTGATTTGACACAATCACGACCCTACAGACCGGGCACGACCACCCCATGGGGACGTTAGCGAGCAATTGCCGCGGGATTCCAGAGGCAGGGGCACAGCCCAAACCTTTTTCTCTTCCTTGCGCGATGAAACGGTTCGTAAACGGCTAGCGACTCTTTTGGGGAGGAATGATTCGACTGACAAGCACCATCCTACTTCATCTACGTAGTTTGTAGCTTCCCCTGTTGCGTCCCCTCATGTCCACAATACACACGCCAAGGCTGATCCAACCAGGAATCACAAAGCAGGTTTTTAATCCAAATTCGTTTGATTGATAGAATTTTTCTGAAGCCGTTTTGGAATTTTCAGCTCGGGACGATGATGTTATGTGGGATGGTACAGGCCCGGAGTCAAAAATATGGCACATGTACATCGAAGATGCCACAAAATTTGACGCGGCATTGATTGAGGGATGGAATCGCACGATGGATGTTCGTATTTTTGATCTCTTAGTCTTTGCCCCGGCTCACCCATCTACGTACTTTTTCTACAGGTGCTCCTTATATTTGTATGCTTCTTCCCCTCCAATTCCTGCCATTTACTGAGTAAATTGCTCGGGCAGTCTGCACTATTCTCGGCGGTACTAGCAGCTTTCATCATTGAATCTTACAAGACTCTCAGCCCAAATTCAGGAGACGCTACTCTTTCGGTACTTCAAAGGATTGAAGAGCATCTTTCCCGTCAGTCAGCCCCTGGCCAATCAAATTCCCCAGATTCCTCGCAGAGCGGATCAAACGGTTTTACACCGTCCGCAAGTGCCATTCGTATTAACAGCGTTTGGTTTCTATCACTTACGCTCAGCCTCAGTGTTGCTGGGGTTGCTGTCATGGCCAAGCAATGGCTGGGCAATTACAATTGGTCAACTGTTGCAGGTAATACTCGAGATCGATCCAGGCTGCGGCAATTTCGTTACACTGAGCTGCAGCGGTGGAAAGTTCCGGAGATTATTGCCCTACTTCCGACCCTTCTCTTGCTCGCACTGGCCCTCTTCTTCTTCGGGCTGATCGAATTCCTCTTTGGAATCAACTCGGTCGTCGCCATTATTAATGCCGCGCTCATTGCAGTAATTGCACTGTTTTTCGTAGTGACGACGGTCGCGCCTCTACTCATCCCGCGGTGCCCTTACAAGACATCACTATCGGACATCTTCCGCCCGATCTCCATGCGAATCTATTATTTCCTGCGGATGATCGGGGAGGGCATTGCGTATTGGAAGGCTCGCCTAGTCAGCCGTGCGTCCGAGAGCTCCTGGGAGCAAGACAGTGCGAGGGTCGAGAAGATAGGGGCGGCGATCCACTTTTCGGGATCTCGGCTTGCGATTCAGCAGGCGGAATGGGGTGACATCCTCTCTTGCGGCACAGAGAGAATCGAAGCACGCGCGTTTGCGTGGCTAATCGACTCATCTCCATTTTACGAGCATGTCCAAGCGGCAGTCCGGGCTTGCGCTGGGCTTTCTGCTGCCGCTGAGAATATAGATATCCTCAGGAGCGCCGGCATCGCTGCCGTTGTCGATAGGCAACTTTTCAGATTCCTCGCACCCACTGAACATCCCTTATCCGACGTCGACGCCGCCACTGCTGGTGCATGTGCACGCATCGTATGTCTTTTTGATGCCAATACTACACCGTCATTTGCGCTTGCGAGTGCTCGATCCCAGAGTGGAGACTCGAGTGCCCTCGGGACTCTTTGCGGTCATCCAGATGGAAACGTCGCCTGCTACTTCAACTGCGCTATTATAGCAGCTGAAGGAGAGGAGATCGGTCCCACCGTCCAGATGCGTGGCTGGAAGCTGGAGGCGCTACTCATAGACCGCGTTAAAGGCAGTAGACCTCTCGGACATCGGGCACTTACCCAGCTGTTAGGTGCACTTAATCGCATCACTCCCAAAGGTTTCCCGATAAATTCTAGAACTATCAATGCGGCAGCGGATCTCCTCTCCACGACCATACAATTACCAAAGGATCTCCGGCGCGAAATTTTCATTATGCTCGGCCTGCACTATGCGAGAGAGAAGACCATACGGCTGCTGGCGCCAAAGAGCTCCTTACGAGTATCTGAGCTTGGCAAAATCCTGTTATCGCGCCGCCACAGCATCCCCGAGGACACCACCATCGCGATCATCGACTCCATCCCGGGAGACAGCGATGACAACGACGCTGGAGAAGGAAGCGACAGAGTCAGCGAGTGGTTCGATGACGGGATCTGCGACAGGCTCGTCTCTCTTCTCAGAGCAAGGAAGGGAGAGGAACCAAGCGACCGGCTGTGTGGTGCCGCCGCGCGCGCAGCGAGTAGGCTAGGGTGCAAAGCGTCCTATTTGCAACACCTGCGCAACGACGGTCTCGATCTTTCACTCGCAGGCACGCTTTCAGCGGGGCGCGCCGAAAGAACGTGGATTGATGTCTGCTTGTGCCTACAGAGACTCTCGGGCAAAGAAGAGCGTTCTTACGACAAAGACCTCGCGGCCATCTGTGCCCAACGTCTGAAGAACGTATCCTCGGAGGACGAGTTGACGGCAGTCGTGTCACTTATGTCACTCCGGGAGTCACTCTACGTCATTTTTATGGAAGAAACAGCGCTCCCGACTTTTGTTCAACACCTTCAATCTCAGAAACCCATGCCAGAGCACATTTTAACTCCTCTGATGATTATCGCCGAGGGTGTCGCCCTCCGTTTGGATGTGACGCGCCCAGATGCGACACGGATCGTAACATCTGGCCTGCTGCCTGGGTTAAGCAACTGTTTCCCCAAATGTCAGGAGGTGTTCGACTCCGACACGCCGCGCATGTTGGCATGGCTCGACACCTGGTCCGGTCACGCTGGCCGTCTATCCCTGATTCAAGGCTGCAGGCAGGGCATTCTCGATAGTGGGTTTATAGGCGCGCTTAATGAGGCGTGGGGCGAAGCCAATCGGAGAATGGAAAGGGATGGGTTCAATAGCTGGCTCCCTCCGTGGACGGGCGATACTGACGAAGAGAGGCTGGACGTTCTCAGAGACAGAGCCAAAGAGAGCGCGTGAAGTACGGAAATTTGGAGGGTTGGCCTGGATCTATGACAAGTATGTAGCACGCCGAGCAGAGTCAGCAGACAATGCGTGATGCACTACCAGGAACACGCTCTTTTCAAGCACTTGCCTAGAGATTTTAAAATTCAGTGACCTAGTGCTTACATAAGCCTGATTCCACGATTCTGCAACCTTTTTCTTCTAACGTCCATCTTGCGTCCAAACTCCGAGTGCTATCGCCTAGATTGATATATTGGTACTCTCAACTGAGCCCTCATACATCATACCCAGCTCCTGGTAGCAGCATACTGTGAGCACTGAAAGCACGCCTCCCGATCGTCACAAACCATGGGACACTAAAATCAGCCAATCGGTCGATACGCGTTTTCATTATTTTCCCTGCTGGAGCTTAACATACTTGTGCCTATCTCTGCACTCTTTAGCCTGGAGTACCGGCCTACCGCTTCCAACTGTGTGAAATAGCTCACTCTTTGATCCGTAGCTCGACTTGAGAGAGACCCTCGAGAGTCCTCAATTGACGGACGCCGTCTCAATTTTGCACGCGCACATCTCCTCACATCCGAGCTATCCACTTTGCTTGTTAAGTGGCATACTGTCACCTCAAAGCATAGAGGATCAAAACATTTGCATGTCCACTTGTCTGCAATAAGGCCTCCGAGTCTTGTGCGCCGCTCCTGTCAATCGCGTTA